CAAAAAAATAAGAACACCACCGATTCCTACTCTAGAGCAAATCACGCAAAAAAAAAATCCCATACCGATTCCTACTCCAGTCTACCAGATTAAGCCCGCAAGCCCAAGTTTAAAAAAAAACAACACCGATTCTAATCCAGTTTGCGCGCACAGGTTCAGTATCCCCCACACCGATTCCTACTCCAATTTAATATTACATTACATTACAGGCAATATAATGTAGAAGTATAAATAATAGAAGCAGACAAGAAAACATATATCACAAGGCTCTTCCTCTAGGACATCAAGCCACCTTTCAATCAGGCTATAGAAATAATAGAAGCACACAAGAAAATATTAATCGCAAGGCTCTTCCTCTAGGACGTCAAGCAATCTCCAATCAATGTCGATTCTAGGTTATCAACCAACTCAATCCTGAATACAATTTTAATTTCATAAGATAAGTCAGCTTATGAATTCGAACTAACAGTACCATCATAAAATAAAAGAGGTCAACCAGACATACATGAAGTTTTTATACATAAATTAAAGAGGTCAACCAGACATACATGAGCCTTGTTTTCAGAAGAGAATGTTTAGCTGAGCCTTTCATATGCACAACCAATGCTATGTATGGTTTTTTTCCCGTCGATGTAGAACAGTTAGCAACAGTCAATTTTTTCAAGTTAGCAACAACCAATTTTTTCAGTTGTTCAGCGGCACGTAGCAACGTGGAAGTTCCAGACGAGTCCTTCAATTCAGACATTCACATGAATGCAGAACATAAATCATGCACACAGCAAAATCATCACAAGAGCTTGCAATCAATTAGGCTACTCAAAATGATTGTTCAGATTAGACATATAATGTTTTGGTGTTTTCATGCTACTATTACTTGACTAACTAAAATATACAGGATACAAGCTAGCTAGCAGTAAGTGGAAGTGCACAATATAAGAACCATGACAGTAATCTGATTCCTACAGAGATAACATATCAAAGACAGTAATATATTTGATATAGTACCAGTCATAAACCAATCAATCTATAACCAGCAATATTGCGCAACGATTAGAGGTGGTGTGGGGATTGAACTTACCATATATCTTACCTATTGACCATATATTTTCTTCCTGGGCTCCTGGTGTACTGCCATACCCACCATCACCCCCATAGCTGCTCAAGTAACCACTAGCACCTGGCATCCCATTGCTACAAAAGCCTTTGGGTTTAGTGAACCTAGATTTGTGACCCGCAAGAAAAGTTTTGGTGTCAGTTGGAAGACATAGAATTAGACAGTGTCAAATACTGCATGTGTCCTGAAACTGATGAAAATTACAGATCTGAATCTCATCTTTGATTAGTTAAGATGTATTTGTCTCTATGTGCTGAAATGCCATTGTTTCCTATTTCAACAAAAAATATCACATGAAAGCATCGGCATTCAACCAATATAGAGTAACAAGACAAGTTTTTAATCAATATTGTTACACTACTCCACCTACACATGTGCTCTTGGTTGATCTACTCAAACCAAACAAATCAAATAAACTAGGGTCTGATCTAATTATTATGACAAAAAAAATAGTGAAAACTCAAATCAACTTAAAAAAACTCACCAGTTCAAGCACCTCTACTGCGGGGGAGTCAATTGTCACTGGATCCGGCGGCCACAGCAGCATCCTTGTTGGAAAATCCATAGAGGTCCACCTTCGTCCGACAATTTGAACCCTCCTATCCGGACTACCGAACAGCTCTGCTTGTACAACTCCACCTCCAGATTCGTCCACTGCACCATATCCTGAGACATCCAACAAAACAAATACTTATGACGCCGTTAACTTTTTAATCATCATTTGACCACTCGTCTTATTCAAAATTTTTGTGCAAATATAAAAATACTTATGTCATGAGAACATTTGATGATAAATCAAATCACAATAAAATAAATTATAATTACATAAATTTTTTGAATAAGACGAAAGGTCAAACGTTTGTCAAAAAGTCAACGGCGTCATACGAGGGAGTACCAATCAGACCAAATAGTGATCATGGAGGACATTACGAGACAAGAAAAACCCACAGGATCCTGCATCCACGACTCAATCGGCCTCCTCGTCTCCGACCGCTTCCTCCGCCTAAAGGACGAGACCGCCCCAATCTGCTCGGCACCGAACTGGACCATTGTGGCAGCTCGATCCTACGATGACGAATGCCACCCAACGGCGAAGGCCGATCCATCGCCAGCGAGCTCGGGGGAATTGGATCCGTCGCCGGCGGGCTCGGTGGGGGGACGAGGAAGGGGAGCGGAGGAGAGGGAGAGGCGCCGTCGGTGGGTGGTCGAGGAGGGGGATCGGCGGAGAAGGAGGGCGTCGCTGAGTGGCGAAGGAGAGGAGAGAAAACCGAGAGGAAAGAACGAAAGGAAGGAAGTAGCAGAAGGAGGAAGGCGACGGATCCATCGAGAGCATTTGAGCACGAGGAGGAGAAACATGGAGAAAGTGACACCACCGCCTATGGGAACCCGCCGCCCATCGAGGGCCCAGCCGCCGGCGCCGCTACCGCCTCCGCCGGGTAGGCGCCGGCCGCGAGAGCCCGCTGCCTCCCCTCCTGCCAGATCTAGCGGAGGGGAGGGCGCGGCCGCCGCCGCCACCACCTCCGCTGGGCAACCGCCGGCTACGGGAGTCCACTGCCTCGCCTCCCTACGCCGAATCCACCGCCCACCAGCCTCGTCGCCGCCCTCGAGCCTCCCAACCGCCGGAACCGCCGCTCACCAGCCTCACCGCCGCCAGCCAACGATGGAGATGAACATGGTGGTGGCTGGATCGACGCGAGGAAGCAGCAACCACGGCTTGGGCCGGTGGTGGATCTGACCGGCCCGTCGCCGTCGACGGCAGAACCGCGGGATCCAAGCGAGCACCACTGTCGGTCACCTTGGACCCTTGGTGAGTAACGAGAGATTGAGAGAGAGTGAGAGACAGAATGGGAGAGAGAACAATAGAGGAACTGCTTGGAGAGTAACGAGAGAGTAGAGGTGGCCAAACGGGCGGCCCGGCCCGGCACGGCACGGGCACGGGTCCGGCACGGCCCGTTTCGGCACGGCCCGTTAGGCACGGCTCATGAAACGGGCCGTGCCGTCCTGACCCACGTGCCGAGCCGCCGGCCCAAGCACGGCCCGTGGATGGCCGGGCCGTGCCCGTGCCGGCACGGCATGCGTGTGGCCCGCCGTGTCAGTACGGGCCCGTGAATGAAAAATGGGCCGTGGACGGGGCACGGTTGGCCCAGGAACCGAAATGGCGCGGAGGGATGCGATGCGGACTTGCGGAGGTGGCTGGCGGGCTGGGCCATCAGCTAGGAGGGGTGCTCAACGGACTTGCGGAGGCGGCTAGCGGGCTGGGCCGTCAGTTGGGAGGGATGAGATACGGACTTGCGGAAGGATGAGATGCGGACTTACTACAGTAGCCGTGCCGTGCCGTGCCGGCCCGCGGGCTCGGCCGGCGGCCCAAGCACGGCACGGCTACTCGTGCCGTGCCGGCACGGCCCGTTACTGTAGCAGGCCGTGCCGGCTACAGGTTCCGCCGTGCCTCGGGCCGCCCGTTTTGGCCCGGCCCGTTTGGCCACCTCTACGAGAGAGAGAGGGACACGACACTGCGACAGACAAAATGGGAGAGAGAACGATAGAGTGAGGGAGTGATAGGATAAGGATGTCGACATACCACACAAATTTATCTCCTCGCTAATCTTTATTCTGTTTTTAATTATGTAATTATCTAAAATCAGAATAATTTAGGTCTCGTTCTTTTCTCCAACAAGTGTTGATGAAGATTAAAATTTTCGTGGCACGCTTTTTAAATTGCTAAACGGTGCGTTTCAAGCAAAAACTTTTTATATAAAAGTTTCTCTAAAATATCATATTAATGTATTTTTCAAGTTTGTTATAATTAAAACTCAATCAATCATACATTAATACCACCTCGTTTTGCATAAAAAAACTTAATCTTCATCTTCATCTTACGGAGAAAACGGAGAAAAGAAGATGATAAAAAAGTATGAAAAACCGGAAAATAAAAAAAACGAAGGAAGGAAAAAACAATTGTTTGATATAAAAAATATCGATTGTGAAAAAAATTGCGCAAAATCATCATATGTTACGTGACCGGTCTCCACGCGAGTCCACATATGATCTTGGAAACTAAGACGCATGCTTGCAACACGAGAGTTGACAAAGCGAGAAAACACGCGTGACCACTACGAGGCTATAAATAAATACCCAAAAGTATTTTTATCCATCCTGATTATTCATCGGTATTACGATAAAAATGATAAAAATACCTATTTTAAATAATTTTTTTTGTTAATCACAACACCAGGTACATCGTCAAGTTCAACTTCATCAACTGCGATATTACCCGGTGTAACGCACGGGTATTTTCCTAGTAAAATAAAAATCATGATGTACCACCAAGCAATGTCCGGCCCTGTTCTTGCGCTTGGTTTTTAAACCTATTGCGTGCACGAATCTCAAACCGGATACGACGACTCGAAACTTTCCCCTTCAATTTTCCTGCGACGGTAGAATATCAATTCCGTTGGTCCAAACGAGTACTGTGACACCTCAAAAACAGAATGAAACAAAACAACAACCCACCGTAAGACGCTCCGTGCCCAAACGAACTCAACGAGAATCCCAGAATCCAGCGGAAAGCAACCCCGTCCGCGCGCTACGCCACCGCCTCTGCCAGCCGACGGCCGTTCGGCCCTCCGCGCACGCGTCCACCGACCCTGGCGCCGCCCGTGCGCGCACAAAGGATATGCCCCGATGGCCCATGGCCCCGCCGACTCGCACCCGACCGCACGCCCAAAACGTGTGCGTCCACGCGGCCAGAGCATCACAAAAAACCCCCACGGGATTCCCAACCCACCGTTCCATTCTCTCGAGCTCACCCCGTCATCCACCTCACCCGCGCCGTCCCCACCCCCAAGCGAAATCTTTATAAATTCCGTTTCCCACGCGTAGCCGCAGCGAACCAAGCCCAACAACACACGGCGCCGCCCACCCATCCACACACCCACCGGCACACGCAACGCCATCATCGTCGCTCGTAGCAGCAGTAGCGTACCACACTTCGCACCGCGATCGTCCGTGTTTGTGTCGTCCACGGGAAGGGACCGAGAGGCTTGGAGGAAAGGAGGGGAGACTCACTCGGCATGGATTTGTACGGCGCGGCGGCGGGCGGGGGACCGGTGGCGAGGCGACCGTGGAGCAAGGTGGAGGACAAGGTGTTCGAGAGCGCGCTGGTGCTGTGCCCGGAGGACGTCCCCGACCGGTGGGCGCTCGTCGCGGCGCAGCTCCCAGGGCGCACGCCGCAGGAGGCCTTGGAGCACTACCAGGTGCTCGTCGCCGACATCGATCTCATCATGCGCGGCGCCGTCGACGCCCCCGGGTCCTGGGACGATAACGACGGCAACGACCGCCGCGGCGGCGGCGGCAAGCCCCGCGGCGAGGAGCGGCGCCGCGGCGTACCCTGGTCCGAAGACGAGCACAGGTACGGACGGAAGCACACCTCAAACCCTCGTCTCCTTCCCTTCCCTCCTCCTCCCCTGCTCGTCTCTGTTCCAGAGGCTTCTCGATTTTTCTCGCGATCTTTTCCGCATTGCTTCGTCAAAGCCGAGAGAAACCAACAAACTCTTCCCAGCTGGCAGATGGCCCCCACCTGCCAGCCACCCCCCCTCAATCGCAACCGCCTTTCCCGTGTAAATTCACTTCGTTTTGCTCCACCATGCGTGTGTGTGCAGGTTGTTTCTCGAGGGGTTGGACAGGTACGGGCGGGGAGACTGGAGGAACATCTCGCGGTTCTCGGTGAGGACGCGGACGCCGACGCAGGTGGCGAGCCACGCGCAGAAGTACTTCATCCGGCAGGCCAACGCCGGCGCCCGCGACTCCAAGCGCAAGAGCATCCATGACATCACCACCCCTTGACCAGCGTCGGCGACGGCGACCCACCCCCTTTCTTTGCAACTCTTTGGATTAAGTGAAACAAGCAAGGGGTAGGCGATGACGTGTACATTATATCCTACACCACAACATAGGCAAGTAGTACTGTCAAACCGTTTGTCACTTGGGGCTCTCTGATCCATAACCGTGGACGGCCTACTTGCCGGAAACAGAGGCTGTTGAGAGCTCCGGTCGGCACACGGTTTGGGCTTTAGGTTTTTCAGCATTAATTAGGATTAGCTAAGTCAAGGACTAATGGGGTTTGACGTGGCAACGTCGTGTCTAGGTTTGGTTGATGCAGACGAAGATGTCACTGTTAATATGGGTTTTGTGCTTTTGTTTTGATGAATGATGCTGTCGAAATCATTTTACATAGTCATTACGGTGCTGTGTTGTGATAAGCATGCACTGCTGGGAACATCTGGATATCGCCACGTAGTTGGCGGCAGTGCGGCACCGTTCCGAGGGTTTGGGCGGCACGTGGTTGATAAGTGCGCGACACTTGGCAGTGCAAACAAACGCGGGCTTCTCTTTTGTCGCTAACGCACCGTCGTACAGAGGTCACACCTCACAAACTCCAAAAGTCCTTACCATCTTCTAGCTATCCAACTGTGCAATGTCTAGCTATCCATTTATGCGGACCATGCGTGATCTGCCTATGTATCACACCACACAAAACTCCAAACAGTGTTTACCACCATTTCCTCCGTTCTAAAATACAGTAATTTTGAACAACCCAAGTATTAGGAACAACAACTCAAGAACAATCCGGGTGATAAACACGAGATATATCTCCAGATTTATATTATTAGGATTTTACCCATATAACCATATGATTAAAATGCATTATATTTTAAGACCAATGTAGTTCAGAGGTCACACCTCATCACACAACTAAACTCCAAAAGTCCCTACCATCGTCTAGCTATCAAACTGTGCAACGTCTAGCTATCCATTTCTGCAGACCATGCGTGATCTGCGTGTGTAGCCTGCACTGCCAAGTCGAGTTGCATGCTTATCAGGGCATGATTAAGGTACAGGGAAAATTTCCCATATTCATCAGCATATCAAATTATCAGATCCTTAGCTACAGAGAAATTTGGTCCTCTGATAGACTGATACCAACCTCACTCTGTCACGCGTCCGTTCTCTTGGACAAGGTTTATACATATTCATATATGCAGAAAACAGTAGATAAATACATAAAGCAAAAAGGGCTCCAAATTCGAACGATAGACAGAATGGTACCTGGCGTTCTTACAAGCAATTCCGTAAAATACTGTCAATGGTACCCCTCAAAATCAAATAAAACAGATCATGATGACAGCGCAAACGCTGCAGTCTATCAGGAGGGTGCTCAGGGCTTTCTGTAGCAGCAACCCAATCTCTAGCATTTGGCCTAAGTTATCAGCAGAACCAAGGTTGCTGCCAGCTGGTCTACCCCTCACGTTGGGGTCCTTGTTCTCCATCAACAAAGTGAAGACAATGGTTATGTTCGTTACAATAAGAAATAGAATTGGCCTTGTAGCAACTAATACTTTGGTGATAGTGCCACCAACGTCCAGCCCCCAATTTGAAAGAACCACCAGAAAACCAATGATGACGGAAGCCAAAAATCGGTTATACTCTGTAGCTGATATGGCCTGGGTAATCTCATGTGGTGCGAAATTCAGGATTTCCTTCAGAGTTTCCACAGACCAACCTGCACTATCAGATTGATTAGACTGATTTGGAGGCACATATCTGGATCTTGTTTCCATTTCCCTCATAGGCTGTGTACTTGCCGATCTGTCATGACTGTTCTTCTTCCTGAGGGTTTCCTCACTGTGCCTTTGAAATGCCTTTTCATTTACTGGCTGAATTTCAGGAACCACATTGCTTGTCTTGAGCTTTTGGAGGTCACTTTCATTACCTTGGTGTTTCTCTTTATGAGTTTCCAGGTGGGCCTCACTAGTCGGTTGAACACCAGATTCTGATTTTTGCAACTGAGTTATGTAGTTGAATATGTCATCACCAATGCCAACTTCATTTAGCTGACGTTCAGATCGCTGAAGGGAAGCAGCATCAACAGTATAAAGTGGTGAATCTGCAAAATAGCAACTAATTCTGTTAAGATGTGGCATTTAAGAAGCTATATGTTTTAACTTTCAAGTACAACTGTGAAAACAAAAATGACAAGAATATCACTTAAACCAAGTGTAAGCTACTAAGATATGCAAATAGAAGTCTAGGACGATTTAATTATCAATAGTCCATAAGTGATGAACTAGTTGTTAGGCAATAATAGATGGACAGCATTATGCTTGATATCAATATAGAGTAGGAAAAATGACAATACTAAGGAAATCTGCATAATAAAAGTTCAGCTTGTGATTATGGTACTGCAATGTGTGTGCTTTTCATCAAAGCAACACAGGCAGCTGTGGAATTTTTCCAACAGTCAAATTTTGCTACATTTTCTTTGAGAACAATATTTTATTCTTATCATCTGTGTGGATTGGATTATCTTTTTGTGAAACTTAGTGGACTGGATTATCAGTTCCATTATCACAACTAAGGGCCTGTTCTAAAGTGGGGATCAGCTTGGCCACTTCCTCGTTTTCTGTTAGCACGCTTTTCAAACTGCTAAATGATGTGTCCCGTACGAAAGTTTTCTATATAGAAGTTGCCTTTTTTTAAAAAATGTTTTTCTTATGTCAATCAGTCATATGCTAATCACAATCTCGTTTTGCGCGTGACTAATCATCCGTTTCTAACATCTGTTTAGAACATGCCCTAAGTGCAATACCAGACAGAGCCCGAGAAGTACCAAGAAAACTCATGATGCTAAATATCTCCAAAGTTTACAAACTTACTACTTATCATGCCTCATTGTGACAATTTTCTAAGGAACCTACAAAGTAGGTAAGTGGAAAGAGATGTTACATTGGACTCCCTTAGTTGCAACTCAATGAGTATGAAGGATTCCTGTCTCAAAAATGTTATTTCCTCTGAAATTTGTACACTCCAGACAGTGGTTCAATTAATCAAACTACACTTGAGTACTTACTACTCCCTCTGTCCACAAATATAAGGGTTCCAAGCATTTGAAATTTCCCCCAATCATCCACCCACAGCCAACCATCCATCATTTAATGAGGGGTATCAAAGTCTTTTTGCCTTCATCTTCAATCTCTCCAAAAAAAGGTCTAGGAATACTTTATGTTAGTGTGGAGGGAGGGGGGAGGGGGGAGGGGGGCGGGGGGTTAATTTGGTATAAACGTTGCTTGCATAGGTCTTCGCCGTATACAAATACAACTCTGTGTTCTGGAGTATTAGGCAAAAAAAACGTTGTAGATAAAGAAAATACCCAGCTAGCACACTTCCTAGCACCTAATTATGTACTATCCTACAAGGTACATCCTGTTTCATTAATAGGACAAGAATTTACTCCTGACAACAAACTAATAAACTATTTCATGTTTCTATCCCTCCTTTTTCTCAACATAGTAAATCAACAAACTACTCCCTCCGTCCTATAATATAAGGGATTTTGACATTTTGCTTGTACTGTTTGACCACTCGTCTTATTCAAAAATTTGTGCAAATATAAAAAAACAAAAAGTTGTGCTTAAAGTACTTTGGATAATAAAGTAAGTCACGAAGAAAATAAATAATAATTTTAAATTTTTTTGAATAAGACGAATGATCAAATAGTGTAAGCAAAATATCAAAATTACTTATATTAGGGGCTAGAGGGACTAATTAACTTACAAGTCGCAGAACGAGCGCTGCAATGTAGGCAGTTCCTGGCTTTCTGCCTCGCAAAAATAAAATTCAAATCTATCACCTAATTGGAGATCTGTACATAACATGTGCAGCAATCCTCCTAATAGTTGCGCGCATCCAGGCAACGCACGCATAGTTCCCTAGTGAAGAACTTAATACTAACCCTATCACAACCACAGTAATCCCGCGAATCAAATCTGGATGCGGAAGCAACATCTTTCACAAGACCCATATAAGAGCAGGCGATTTGAGATTTTGAGGTTTGTTCATCAGAGGAAGAGCAGGCTTTCCTGTGGTTACCTGGGGACGGATCGGAGGGGAGGCTCTGAGCTTGGCCGGTGATGAAGGCGAGGCGATCGGATCCCCTATCCACCAGCCGCCGCCGCCGCCGTGCGTTCGCGCCGCTCTCCATCGCCCGCCCCCTCCGCGTCGCACGCCCAGGCCACTACTTTCTCTCCCTCCTCCTCCATGCGCCTCACCTCTCGTTCTTTACCTTTCCTTTTCGGAAAAATTCCCCTTATTTTCTCCAGGACTCTCCAGCGAGTTCATCGTGGGCCAAATCTTTTCCCCAAAACTGAGGCCCAACTAAAAAGAATTCCTCGTAGGCCCAAATTGCGTGAAGCCGTTCACGATGATCTGCGAACCGTGCAGCCAGCCAGCCCCCTCATTCACTGCACGCCTGCACGTATACTGTAGCTAATTTACTCGCGGTTTCATTCATTAGCAAGCTGTGTGCCTAAATGCACCACGCCTGTGAGCAGATTAACTGTGCGTCGCGCTTGCAATTGCACTTACTTTGGACGTCCGGAAACTTTTTTTTTTTCACATCATCAAGACGCCTCATCATCGTCATTCATCCCGGTTCTATTTGGAGGGCTCTGGCGAAGCATAAAGGCCCGGCACATGCCGCGGTTGCGCCCGCCCCGCCCCGCCCCGCCTCCGCGAGGGGAGGAGATATGGATGGATGCCAGCTATACCACACGTCTCTCTCTATCGCCGTCTCGCGCGAGAGCTTCTTCATTCGTCGCCTGACTAGCTTTGTGCTTACGCCGTGTCGTAACTCGTAATAAGCGGAGTCAGGGCCATAATGCCATTGATGTCGCGACTGCGCGCCCTTGGGGCTGGACACGCACGCTAGGCAGGCGCAGTGACCTCGGCGGCAGGCAGGCCGGCAGCTACAGTTAATTTCAGGCCAGTCTCTGAACTTTTACTAATGGGTCGCATATGATCTGCAATGATCTGCGCATGATGGCATAATCATGCATGGATCGGGATTTTTTGAAACTGTACTTTCGCAGAGGCTATTTTGGATGGTACGAACCAAAAAGTACGGTGAAAAGCCAATAAACACCCTCATAATTAGGGGATTAGGGGATGCATGCCTTCCTTCCGGTCAAATGATCTAGAGGAATGCACTAGTAAGATGGAATTATTTCCTCCGCTGGTTTGACCGATCTTTTGTGATCTGGATTGCACACAATTATTTTCCATGAAGCATATAGGATTCAACTAGCAGTTAGGCCCTCTTCTCATACAGCGAGATGCTAATAAGATAGACGAATAGTGCTGGCCCCATTAGTACTTCTGTCATTTTGCCCAATGTTTTAACTCACCCTTCAACTTTAGGTGATAAAAAAACATGGCCAAAATGACAGAGGAGTACATCGTACTCGGTTTAAAAATTTGAAGGGTGAATCCTATCTGACCATGGAGTTAATCAAAGAATGAATATTTTATAGCTGCGCCAAGAGTGTGAGAGATGTCATGAGCCCCTAATTTATTAAGAAAAATGTTTAGTCAAATGTGTACTCCCTCCGTATTCGTAAAAGAAGTCGTTTTGGACAACGACACGGTCTTCAAAACACAACTTTGACTTCTTGTTTCTATAAAATATTTATTGAAAAGTGATATATATACTTTTATGAAAGTATTCTTCAAGACAAATCTATTCATATAATTTTTACATTTTTAAACTCAACAATTTGAGAGTTATTCATTATTTATATTCCCAAGGTTTGACTTAAACATTGTCCTAAACGACTTCCTTTATAATTACGGAGGGAGTACTTCTACACTAATACCCCGCTCATGTATATTACATGATAGATTTTACGATCATCTTGTTACATGAATGGTAGTACTTCATGTTGTTACAGAGGCCATGCATTAAGGAACCTCCAGCTAGCTCATTAACATACCCCCGTACAAGTGCTTCCCTTTCGATCTACAGAAACACCTGCTCCTTGTCACGTCTATCCACCAATTAATTAATAAATATACTCCAATATTTTTCCACCCTCCAGAAAAGCTACAATATTAATGGAAAATACAAGTATGGCGGGACAGCGTCCAGACTCCAGAGGCTTGGAGGGAATTGACCAGCGTTTAAATGTGGCTGTTCTTGCCTTTAAGAAAACCCACCTCCTCCTCAACCCCTCCCCATTATATAACAACAGGAGTGGTGCATGACAAATACTCCTACCTAGCAAAAGCTATATGCAACCAAGTGGAGAGCTCCAATCCACCAACACGTCGAACTGCTCCCTATATTAGAATCCGAGGTAATGCATTTGGTCTAGTGCAATGTGACTGAATTTTTCTTCAGAACAAGTTTAGTGCAATGTGTCACTAGCTAGCTAGGTCATATTGTTGGATAGTGGCTAGCTTAGCTAGGTCGTGTGTGTTGTGAACTTGTGCTGTCTCGCTAATGTTGTTGGCGTAGCTGAGTGCAGTGATCGGAGGTGGTGTTGGTGGAGGCGGCGAGGATGAGCAGGAACAACGGCAAGAGTTCCAAGCTGGAGTGCCTGAGGCTGATGAGCCTGTCGAGGGCGCGTGGCGGCGGCGGCGGCGGGCCGTCGGCGACTGTGCGCCCGGGCGGCGACAGCGGCGGCGTCAACGGCGCGAACACGTCGCCGCGCAGGCTGTCGTCCTCGTCGTCGTCCACCGCGTCGCCGCCGAGCTCGTGCGTGTCGTCGGAGGGCAGCCCGGACGCGGCGGGCGGCGGCGCGGGGCCGCCCATGGTGCTGGCTGGGTGCCCCCGGTGCATGATGTACGTGATGCTGTCCCGGGAGGATCCCCGGTGCCCCCGGTGCCACAGCGCCGTGCTGCTCGACTTCAACGACGACGACCAGCGCCGCCCGCGCCAACGCCGGTGATCCGATCGGCGAGGCTAGCTAGCTGGTGCAACAGCCGGGGGCTCAGTTCTTGCGTTTAGTTCTTCTTCGTCGTCACCGTCGCCGTCGTAGCTTTAATTTAATTACCATCATTCATGATCGATCAGAGTTTACGTGGATCCCGAAAGGAATTATTTCATAGACCTGTTTCTTGCGTGCGGTGCACCCTGTCAAACGGAATTGGTCTAGGTAATAATTTCGCGTTTCAGTAGTATTTCCTGTTCTAGTGTTCAGCTGAGAGCTACGTGCAACAGTGCAAAGACTTTAAGTTTATCATGTCATCAACATTTAAATCATTTAATGGAAGTAATGCTCTTGTCCTGTCATATAGTATTGACCCTTTTCTGTGGTACTGAATGGTACATAAATATGTTGCAGCAATGTGTAATGTGATTGATTGAATACATGTGCATTTGTACACAGTTGTACTAAAATTACAGAGCCGGAAACTGAATTTCCAACCGAAGGGAACTGTTCTTAGATAAGAAATATATCTTTTTCTTTTAACTGCAAGTTGTTGTATAGAAACTAAAATAAGGCATACATCCATCTGAAAGATAACCCAAATGACCTAAAAAATGAGAAAATAAATTGAGGGTTTGTCACCCTTGATGACCTGAAAAGGTTCACTTCAGGATTGCCACATTAGTACATTACATGTGGATGCCATCCATGTTAGTGAGAGACCACTTATCAGTGAAACAATATAATGTAAGAAAAACACTTACATGCCAATTTCCCAGTTGTCAAAATAATTAGTACTTCATCCGTTTCATAATGTAAGCCATTCTAACATCTCTCATGTTTATATTGATGTTAATGAATCTAGACATATATATCTATATAGATTCATTAACATCAATATGAATGTGAGAGATGCTAGAATGACTTACATTGTGAAACGGAGGGAGTACCATTGATGAACTGTCAGAGTTTTAATGAAACCAAGCAACTTAAAGTAACAACAAGCAGTATTTTAAAGCAGATATTTGCTCATATTGCTTGAGGCGCGCGATTCACCGTGCACTATGTTAATAGACTCTGGTCTTAGAGTCTTGGACATAATTAAAACAAGGCCGGACAGGTAATTCAATTAGAAAAAACAGAAAAGGTAGGAAATAAGTCTGTTTGTATTATTTTTCTTACTATTGTCGTTTAGTTCAGAAAATTCTGGGATGGATTGGTGGGGATCATATATTCTAGCATGTGATAGCTCATCTTGCACTTTTGCATGAAACATGTGACATGGCATGAGTTCTGTTGCCCACCCTTTTTCTTCTTTCTTTCTTTTTTTTTTTTGGCATCGGCAGACACAGATTTGTGGTGGGAGAAGTGATTGTATGCTTATCAACATAGTGATTTTGTCCAATTTTAAAGAACGATTTCAGTGACGTTGTTACTTATCACTGGAAGTGCTTCGAGATAATGCAGGAGTACAACTCTAGTGGAGACTAGGAGGTGAGAGCATGAAAGCCTATCGCAATCATGGTTCATACGAATATCATTTCAGTCTTTCAGACAGTTCCATTTCTTTTCGTAAATCATAATTTGATTAATTTAGATGGTTAGACAATGAAAATTTTTGTTGTTAGCTTTCTACAAGTGTCTGAGAAAAACATTCTTAACTTTCACTCCTCCTGAAATTGTTCAGTTTACTTCTAGTTCAGGTGACATTTTGTTACTACTTTTGTGAGTTTGCCAGTTGTCATGTACTCAGAGATTAACACAAATATCATCTGAGTAATCAATTGTTTGCCAAACACAACCTGCTTGGAACAAGGAACACGCAATCATCGATCCACTGCTCCTGCCTACAAAAACCAAAGTTCTCAGATTAGCGGAAGCGCAATCTTTTCTCCTGTGACGCGACGTGAGGGAGAACTGGAAAGATGCTCGGTGGTTAGGATCATTCAAAGGGAGACCTATTGCCGATTAATTCGCTTTTAAGCCGTATAAATGCACGAGTAATTGGAGACAGTTGTGCAGCGACGCCGAGCGGGGAGGGGGCGCGCATGGCCGGATTGGTGTCAGGCGATTAAACCGCGCGCGGTCTCTCTCTTTCTCTCTCTCTCTCGCTTGCCAACCCTTGTCGCTTGAATGCGTTGCTTGCTGCTGCTACAACGATCGATCGATCGATCGGTTCCGAAGAAGCAACAGCTCTGCTCGCCAGATGCGGCGAACTTCGCAGGCTGTTACCAGGTTGCGTTGCTCCACGTCTGCTGCACACGGAATTAAGTCATGTCCTCTGCCTAACAATTTTGCCAACTGGAAGTTTGGAGTATTAGTAGCGGTACTATACTCGACTATTACTACGGCTTTAC